ACAAATATTTTTTCGTGTGAGTTGTACACCACTATTCTTCTTTTGACATATTTTTCAATTGGTGCAAATTTGATGTTATTCTTTGGCTAAATTCCGGAAATCTCATTGATTGGCCATACTGCTATCTCTGCCATCTTGAATTCACTCTACTTTGTGATGCTGTCTCAAGCTACCTGTGGTTCCTGTTCGAAAGTTGTTGGGCATAAGGCTCATGCACTTCTTTGCTTCAGATGCGATGTTTTGTTCCATATTTCGTGCATTGGCTTATCCGTTGGTGTTTCGAAAATCTCTTGACATCTGACATCGGTTTTTCCAAGTTATATGTGATAAATGTCGCGGTGTAAGACATCAGAATACACGACTGCCAACGATTACGGGAAAAACTCTCTTCCAGACAGAAACAAACTGTTCACCACTTGGGGTCAAACACCCTAGTGAAAGTACCTTTGTCACCTCGCCCTCTCTTGTCACTCCGCAATCTGCACCACCACCAGCATCTTCGACCCCGGCCGAGCCTCAGGTTCAATGTTTCTCACCGATTGAAGACAGACTCGGAACCTACGAAGTGCTGCTTCACTGATCGTGCCATGAATTTCTCCGAGCTTGTCTGTGAACTTCTAAACACGGAAGATCCAAAAGCGCAAGAGGCCACGTAATCGTGTTCAGGCATCCTCTGCTGATAAACAACAACCCATACATAAAAGCGCTTCTAGTCCTGTTCCCACATGTTCATCACTGATTTCGCTGAGACGTCGTAAGCTCATAGTCTTCCACGTACCAGAGTCAAAATATGACACGATGTTGAGTTGTTCCCGGGGTTCATCGATAGACTCTTGAATGTGGGTGAAGACAGTGTGACGATTAAATAAGTAATCCGACTTGGCCAGAAAACTAACCAGTCATGTCGACCTCTTAGAATCACCTTTGTAAATCATAATATGCCACAGCTCATACTGTCTCGTCTTTCAAGGTTGAAAAACCTAAATGTTCATATCCGCCGAGACTTGGAACCTGAAGGCAGGGACTGTTCGAATACTGCGGTCATTGATCTCAAACGCCATACACAAGAAGATGAGACTGACGTAAAAAACATTGTAAATTTTCGGGTGATCAAGAAGGGTGTACGAACCCGTATCAACCGGTGGCTCAACCTCCAGGCACATCCCGCCGTACCTCCCAGAACCTCCGTGTATCATTCGCCAACGCGTGCAGCCTAATGCATAAACGTGACGAACTGTGCCGCTTCGCTGTTTCAGAGCGGCCGGACGTTTTAGGATTTGCGGAGACTTGGCTGAACTCCGACGTCATACCCCACGAAGTTGCGTTGGCAGGATACTCTTGTTTCCGATTCGACCGAAAATCGAAGACTCACGGTACATAAAATCGTCACTATCTGGCAAACCTACCTGCACCTATTGGAGCATGGATAATTTATGCTAGCAATTGTGGTGTGCAATCCGCCTCAGACGCGCAGAACTAATAGTGAGTGTTATCTACCGTGGCCCATTAAACCGTTGTTGCGATTAGCTACCACATATACAGAAGCACATGAGTCGCCCTCAGTTCTTACTGATGGGGGATCTAAATTTACCCAAGTTATTCTGGTCAGACGTTCGGCTTCTTCCCGGTCATGGCGACGTTGAGGCTCAATTCACTAAAATGACTATTTGAATCAGGGCAACGCAACATGTCATGCAACCGACGTGCGTAACTCCGCACTCGGCATCTTGTCTGAATCTAATGTTTACGAGCTATGAGCAGCAGCTGAACGAGATCAGAGTCCCCGAACCTCTGACGAACAGTGAACACTGCTCCACCGTAGCAAGCATATAACTGTCGTTACTGGATTACGACCAACGGAAGCCGACATTCAACTATTGGAAGACGGGCTTCAACGGGCTCGTCGAAGCCGCAAGTCAGACTGATTGGACACTACCACAGGATGCGTCGCTTGAGACCTGCTGGTCATTAATGAAGGGGAAGCTTAACTCGCTGTACACTCGGTTCGTTCCCCTTAACTAATCAAAAATCGGACCCGTCAAATTGCATTGGTTTGATAGGGAATATAAACAGTTAGCGCGATGACGTCGCGAACTTTGGGATAGACACATCAGCTCGGGTTGTGATGAAGATTACACGATGTACAAGCAACAGCGTAACTTATGTAACGCTGCAAAAATCAAGCTGCAGCCTCTTTGTAGTAGCTTCGACGAAGGCTATATGGATAACGCCGCAATATTATACATGGAGAGATCCAATATAAATCAACGCCGACATAAATGTTGGTGTTGCTGCCAAGATTAGTTCAGTTCAGTTCCATTCCAGTATCGTTGCTACGGACCAAGATAAGTGGTTTGATCAATTACCTCGAGTTCTTCATTATTTAGTGGCTAGTGGTCCTTCAACAACTGAAGTTTCGAAGCGCATGTCAAATAACGAGACCACTAGAGAGATTCTTCAAGGTTGACTAGGCCACGCTCGCATCGTTAATCTGCAAGGCAATATCGCCCATATAATCAACATCAGCAACTTTTCCACCAGGAAGCGCCTTAGCGCTTGCATCGTGAAAGTTCGCCAGAGTACGCCCCATGACTTAAGAGCAACGGCGGAGTTGAACAAAAGGGAATTGTACCATCTTGACGACCGCCACTTATTGTCTGGAAAGTATCCGACGAGTTGCCATGGACCTCTTTTCCTTGCACGACGTTCAACTTTCGTGCCTTGTGATAACTATGTTGCACTCCATGCATAACGAATTCTTTCACTATTACTGTGCACCAGCTAATTGAAAACGGATGTGATGACTCACGTGGTTTTCCGAACTAACCGTAGTGGTCGCACGCAGCGGCTACAGGTCAAGCTATGGCTCACCCAACTCTGTGGCTACATTATCGATAGTTGCTTTTATTCCAGTGAACAGACATTTGTGTATGGTTTATTCGATGTCACCAGTTTACGTCAACTCACGAAGCAGTGCCAGGCGCGGCTTGTCCGCGGTAATTGCATGTGATCCGACCAGCTGTCAACGGGGACTTAAAACACTGCCATTCAGCGCGTCCATTCCATCTATCGTTCAAAGGCTGCATTGGCTGCACATCAGTGCTTTAGTAGCAAACATTCAGGGTCGAATCACCTACACCTTAGCTGCCGACAGATGGCTAAGGTATGGGGTAAACCGGTTCCGGCATGTAGGTTTTCGTGGTGACTTCCTTGCGCCGCTTCACAATAAAATCTACCTCACAGGCTATTCAACATCAGCCACACTTCGAACAGGTAGTTTGAGTAAGAAACTAAAGAAAATGCGCTACTGGTACAGGTCACAATCCATTTCTTCCATGGTTTTGAGTCGGACCCGGGTCGATATGCGTAAACTCCGCTTTTGCAGACAAGGCAGACCAGCGATCATCCACTTCGAGCCTACTAGTTAGATAAACCAAGATCCCGTTGGTAAACAGTGACCCAGTCTACGTAACATTTATCTAGAAGGGCGCATCGTGCTCACGTTCTTTTTTGGTTTGACGAACTAACTTACCACCACTTGTCACTTGCGTGCCAACTGGCCCGTAGCTGTGCTCCGGAGTCGATGTTGATCAACGATCTGATGACGCTTCTGTTCATGAAGCCGAAAGGGCCGTATCAATGCAGTAGAAGCAAATGGTCCTTTCTGATGCCCTGTATACACTTCCCGTAGCTCTAATACTTGCATGCCTGCTTTGTAATTTTGGAGTACGGATTCAAGCCTACATAGGAAACCAGGCGACTCTCGCAGTATTTCCTTCCCACGCGCGACGTGGTGGTTGTGCGGTAACGAAGCGTCGGTACTGTGTACCGGCATACTGCCGATGTCACTTTTCGTATACACACATAAGCAAGACAATCTATTTGTATGTCAGAGATACAACAATTTCAGGAAAACAGTTCTGACTTTTGCAGTACATGCACTGATATCAGCTGTCATATGCGTCGCTCCTAAAACAACTGCCGGAACTGATCAGTCGGATAACTATCCAGTTGCTAAGGATCAAATGTATAGTGTAGTCCAACTTGCTATGGCGACCAGCCAAAAGCATCCCCAACCTATTCTCTCATGAGTAATGTCCCTTTACCTGAATTTGTCCATGACGACCACTTTTTATCGGTCTTGTGAGTTGTCGCCTTTGACAGCTTTGTCTGTAAAGATGATTACAATGGTTTATGCCTTTGGTTGTGCTTGGAAATTTGTGGAGCATGTAGTTGATTTCGACCGGCATCGCGCAGCATTTGAATGTTTACTAGATTCAGGTAACCAAACTAGCAAAGTGATTTAGACAGTAACAAGCAAGAAAAGGGCTAATTTAGGTGAAATGTGTACGGGTTTGTCTACAGGGGAGGGAACTAAAAGTAGGAAGAACGAAGGCGAATACAAGGCGGCGGGAAGCATATTAGCAGTGTGTGGGTACATTGTACCGGGGCTTCCTTGCCACTCGACCATTACCGGTCCTGCTTGGGCTGTGTACACTTTGTGATCACGGACTTGCGCAGATTCAGCACCGTTATGTTTAGGTTACAAGGCAGACGCCTCATCTTCTCGGCCACCGACCGCGGCGAGTTCAACGGTGTCACTGTGCTATGTTTATGCACCACATCACAGCGTGGCCGACTTCAAGCTTCTTACCAGTAGGCTATTTCACCAGCATTTTAAAATTAGATAAATATTTGTTGTTCGCTAGAAATCATCGCGGTGTTTGCGGGCAGGCAACACCTAGTATCGATCTGCTTCGGTGACAGTCCCAGTGACCGAATGAACCAAGGTTCATTTCAATGCGAATCGTGGTTCACTTTGAGATTGTGCATTGCATTGCATTCGCACAACGAATGCTTCACAATGACCTCTGCAATCACTGGAAATTTCTTTATTCCTCTTTTGACACCGAGTTTGGTGATTTGCTACTAGTAAAACCACTTTCCTTCTGTTCGCTCTCAATATCCTAATAAATATTCTTCTCCTTCTGACGTTTTAGCCTCTGCCTTCTTGTGAATCATGGGCGTTCCAGCTTTTTTCCGTTGGTTGAGTCAGAAGTACCCTTCGATAGTGACTCACTGTGTTGAGAAACGAGGTCCTATTCTGGACAATGAAGGCAACCGAGGTCCTGTAGATACCACCCAGCCCAATCCTAATGGCGAGGAGTTCGACAACTTATATCTCGATATGAATGGTATCATTCATCCTTGCACTCACCCCGAAAACAAGGCTGCCCCGAAGAACGAAGCAGAGATGTTCGTGGCCATTTTCCAATACATTGATCGCTTGTTCGCCATAGTCCGACCACGTCGCATTTTATACATGGCTGTCGATGGAGTCGCTCCTCGTGCAAAAATGAATCAACAACGTTCGAGACGATTTCGCGCTGCGAAAGAAGCTCGGGAAAAACAAATGACCGTAGCTCGACTACGCCACGAGTTAGTTGCTAGGGGTGCTTATTTACCCCCTGCCAAAGGCGATTCGGAGCATTTCGATTCAAACTGTATCACTCCTGGAACACCTTTTATGGCCCGTTTGTCTGTGGCTTTACGCTACTACATATACGACAGATTGAATAGTGATCCCGGTTGGAAGAACATCCTGGTGAGCGCAATAGTTTTTCAACTCTCAGATCATCATAAGCAGTAGTGCTACACCAGTAGTTGGAACTGATTTTTTGTCGCCACGCAACCATAGTGGCCCAGGAAACAAGGGGTAATAAAAGGGCATAGTGAAACAGTGCAGAGTTTAATTGCCCAAAGTTTATGTGCTACTGAGAATACCGGCTTACCTGTCACTTTTTCCTTTTCTTCATGCGCAGGTGTTTTTAAGTGATGCCAACGTGCCGGGAGAGGGGGAGCACAAGATCATGGACTTCATCCGTCGCCAGCGCAGTTCTCCAGACCACGACGCTAACACACGACACTGTTTATGCGGTGCTGACGCTGACCTCATTATGTTGGGCTTGGCTACGCACGAACCCTATTTTACAATCATTCGGGAGGAGTTCAAGCCGAATCAGCCCAAGCCTTGTGAATTATGTGGCCAATTGGGACATGAAATGGAGGATTGCGTTGGAGCACCAAAGGAAGAAGACCCCGATGATGGACCCCCTCCGATTGTTGGAGCTGAGCCAGTGAGTGATAAACAGACATGTACGATGTGCTATCCTGCCTTTAGTTCAAGCAGATTAATCGTTCCCATATCGTAACTGATGTGTCGTTGTTTGCTTTTCTATGTCCTTTACTTGGTCAAACTTCAGACCCCTATCTGTTCTTCGATCCACCTGTTAACCGGCCTTGACATAGCGTTTGTATCATTCCTGTAGATAGTAACTTTGTGGCAGCTTCCGGAACTCATGAATTCCACTGCTTTCGTGTTTCAACTTTGGACTACATGCAACCCAGGTGTGTGTCTCACATTTTGCAGCCACCTTTTTTGTCCATCTATTCGCCATCACTTTAGCTTCTCTCGGTTGCCATTCCGGTCAATTCATGCACCAGACAGTACTTTAATTGATTGTTAGATCCGTTTACTAAATTGTTTATTGCCATTGTACGGACAGGTAAATTGCCGCCGTCGTTACCTACCGGTGGCGACGTGGTTCAAGCGTTTGGTTTTTACTCCATGAGTCACTGGTTCGCGCCTACTTAGGCGAAGGCAACATCAATGTCCCTAGCTTGCATTCTCCATCTCGCAGTTTTGTGGTGGCGAACCACAGTTGCTAAGTATGACGTTCTTCCGATACTAACACACCGAGCTTGTTGTCGGATAGTACGTGAATTTTCAAGCTTGCTTGTTCTAGCCAAATTCTTACACTTTGAGGCAGTACGGGAACGCCATGCTGTGCCCTAACTCGAATGTGATCCGTGATGTTTAGGACTTTTACTCGCAGTCCGTACTCCTGTTTTCGAATCCCTACTCCTTACCCGTATCCCGCTTCCTGCAACGTACGGCAAAAGGCTATAGATTCACCGTTGGTATCTTGAATGAAAGTTAGTCGAGAACACTGATTACCGGTTTTTCCGCTCAGGATATTTGTTACCACAGCACCGGCTTTTCGTCTCATCACACAGGCACACATTTGTTCACGTATTTTCTGGTTTGGGTGTGTTTAACCTTCCTGCTTGACCTACCTGTCCTCTTTCGGGCACTGCTGTTACAGCAATGCTAGCGATATTTAATGTCAGAAACTAGATCGATCCGTTTATGTTGGTCGCTGCGTTAACAGTAACGAGCACCTGAGTTCTGAGTTTAGCTTGCGTTTTGTTTGAGCTATTATACTTAAATGTATTGAATATTGCACTGAGATTTGGTCGTTTCTGTTGAACATCTCAAGTGGTCTCTGGAGTTCGTCGCCCACGGAAAGCTGGCTGAGGAGCGACACCCTTCTGCTTGCCTATGTGCGGCACATAGACGAATACTAGTTCTACTTGCACTGGCTCATTGCCTTGTTTTCTGATGCCGTCACCTGATGGCACCTCGCGCGGACTCCAACCTGCTGCCAAGTTAACTTTTGCGTACCTTCACCTGGCAACTAACACAAGGCATTCCCCCAGCAAGCGGTGAGCAGGCACGTGATTAGGTCAGCGCAACTTATTCAACATTCTTTTTTGTCCTCCAGTACCAGTCTGATTATCTCCGCAAACTACCCACTTGTGTATATTTTCGGTGAGCACATAATGGTATCATCAGACAGGCAGCGGCGATCAGAGTCTAGAGGACGCCCGATCCGCAGTCCGAAAGTGCCAGGTCACTCTCATTAAATATGACGGTCTCCAAGCAATCCCCTTCTGACGCCACAGATGTCGCGGGTTTTAGAAGGCAGTCCTAGCTTTCACATTAAATGCCTTAACTTGTGAACTCACCCGTTCATTGTCGCAAACAAAGCTGCCGAAAATAGGGAATCGATTCATCACTAGTTATCTACTGATCGTTAGGAGTTAAAGCTCCATCTAGTAGCTGGTGATCCTGCGCAACACTTTGCAAGTGCGAAGCGCATGCCAGATGATGGGACTGCTTCAGAGAGTTTACCCAAGGTTGATTGGGCCGCACCCCGACTTTCAAACAACAAGATAGTATCGTTCGCCATAACCTAGATCTACTAATTTTCTAGCAGACGGCATTTCAATGACTACCTTGTGAGATTCTTCAAGGGAACACCACATGATGGAGTGGAGGAAAAAAGTAGGGAGAACGTTTCGTCACCAGGCGAGATGACGTCGTCATTGCTTCGCTGCATATTGGGCAACTTCGTTGTGTGGGTCGTCGACCCTTGACCAACGGATTGGTGACGTTTGAACTTGACATCTTCGATGAATCTCCCATAATTTTGCTCGTTCGTTGGTCGGTTATCTCTTTTTATCTCATCATTTGGTTCATGATCTCCCAACACTGCGTCAACAATGAGCGTGTTTGTCGCCTCGTTCATGACATAGGAAAAAAAGGTGAACCGCTCAACACCGTTATTTTACGAACCAAGCTCCGATGTCCGGGCCATTCGTTATGCATGCCTGCGCACCGACTCCTGTTATGTACCTTGTTTGCTCGATCGCGGTGTGGATGGGAGAAGAGAAGGCCTATCGACGACCTAGTCAAAAGAAATGAAGGCCTCATTTGGAGCCTCGGCTCCCTGGTTGGGATCCGAAAGACAATGATGAACATGTTTGGACGGGTACACGCCGACGTGGCTAGAAACCGGCTTCACTGTCGTTTGTATTGTGTGTTTCTTTGTGCCTCTTCTTCGAGCTTAGCCTCTCCCTCCAACCACCATCTCATTTTCTAGTCATCATATAATTCTTTTATTGCGACACAATAGCCCGATGGTAGCTGTCCGGTGGCTCAGCTGGATTACCTCGGTTGCTTGTCTGTTTCTTCCTTCCTTTTGTATTGCGGCACAATAGCTGAGGTGTTCTTCACCTCTAGCTAACATGTATAATGATGATGAGTGAATTATGATCCAAGGACGTCGATAACTGGGACAAAACGGAGCTACTGACGTCGAGTTAGACAAGAGATGGAGGAGAATTTCTCGAAGCGCCCTCCTCTACGGAGGGTTCGATGGGCATTTACCTAGATCCCTTGTACCAACAACTCACGAAGATAAAGAAGATAATACATCAGAAGTAAAAGACGGCTAGGCGAACAAGCTTGTTTTCGGTGGTTCGCATCAGGCTGTTACCCCACAATGAATAGGAGCACAACTAACAAAAGTCAATTAAATGTGATGAATCAATAAAGCGAATCGCCTGGTCTCATGAGATTAAGGGATGGCACTGGCGGGAGCCACATTAATGGAGATGTTAGATGCATCATCGTTACACAAGGCGGCTTGGGGCTAGGGTGATGGAAACAGTCCAGGGCTCCCACTGTGTTTAGAGAACTTAATCAGTACATTAGGTTCAGCACAAGGTTTGCGATAGGTAAGGTGATTGCAGTTTTTGGATGTTTTACGTTATGAATATCTGAAGCACTTTTGGAGGATATATATATATATATTTGCAACAGTCTATGAATAGACATTGCACCATCGGAAACCATGGAACTCAAAACAAGGTACAGCAATAGTAAAAGAAAACGCAACACAACAATGTCCACGGTTTCGTCAGAGGGCGAAATACTACCCGGTTGCCCGAGCCGAAGTAGGGTGTTGACTTAGGGGACACCATCCCGAGCCTTTGGCTGAATAGCTTGTCCGCAAGGCAGCGGAGCGAATTCAGGGAATCGCGCCCATTGGGAGCCGGTGACTGATTGATCAGTTCATACGCCTTTCATTTGTTCCTTTGCCAAACAGGGGCCCAATGCTCCCCGAAATTACAGCATCAACTTGCTGGAATACTATGCTTCGCCAGGATGAAGCAAGGGGCAGTGACTTTATTTAGTGGCGAGTCACGTCCGCCACGTCACAGTGTTGTTAAACGGACATATGTGGCTTTTTATAGGGGGAACGCTTGCCAGGCGAAAACCCACCACGTCCTGGATCACTGCCGCCGAACCATC